AATTAATGATTTTTTGCCTTATGATTTGTGCTTTTGAAGCTTTGTATAAGAAGTCCTTCCTTATTCCTAGGTTGCACAGGTATTCATCTGAAGTTTCCTTTTTCTATTAACTTAATAATTTTATTTTTCATAGATATATCTTAGATCCATCTGGGGTTCATCTTTGTATTTAGTGTTAGGTGGGGATCCAGTTTTTTTTTTGGTTGATTGTTTTATTTTTTTTATCTGCTCTGCCAGTTTTCTCATGGATGTCCCACAGATAACGGGCCCTGTGCCTCATTGATTCCTGGTGTTTCCTTATCATAAACTATGTTCCTGTATGTACACGGATCTCTCTGGAACTCTTTAGCCTGTCCATTGTTCCATTTATCAGTTCTTGCACCAGCACTACTGCAATCAATTGTATTACTTAGTAGTATAGGGCAAGTCCTCTCTTTTTATTTTCATTTTTCATGGTTGACATAGTTATTCATGCATCTTTATTTTTCCATATCATTTTAGAGTAAGTTTATCAAGTTCTTTAAAAAACTAAACTCAAATTGTGTCTAGGATTATATTTAGAGACTTTTAATTTGGGGAAAGTTGACATCCTTATAACATTATTGTCTCATCCAAGATTGTACATTATTTCTATTTACCTGTGTCATTAATTAACATTTCAAAGTTTTCTCCAAAGAGGTTTTGGTTATATTAATCCTTCCTAGATACTTTACAGATTTTGTTACTATTCTGAATAGTATCTTATTTTGATTAGATTTTCTAAGTGATTAATTCTAGCGTACAGAAATACTTTTGATTTTTGTCAATTGATCTCATTCCGGAAGCCTTGCTAAACTCTCTCATGAGATCTAATAGTTTGCAGATTCTGCTTATTTTTTTCTAGGTAGATGATCCCATCATATCAAATTGCGACGATTTTCACTCTTCTTGTCTCATCTTCTTTCCTCTTATCTGTTTTCCGTTTCTTTAGAGCATTGGCCAGGACCTCTAATACTAGATTAAGCATTAGTGGTGGCTGTGGAAATCCTTAATTTGAATTTATACCTTCTCCACTAAGTAATATTTATTGTGGTCATCGGTATTCAGTCTTTACCAAGTTATTTCTTCCCATTTCCAGTTTATTAAGGGTTTTTCCTTATAATAATAAATGTGTTCAACCTTCCAAATGCTTTTTCTACATCAGTTGACTTTTTTCCTTTAGTTTATTAATTTGTTTCATTTACGTTGATATATTTTCCAAAGCTAAGCAATCTTTTTGGTCCTGGGATAAACCCCACATGATCATAATACATTCTTTTATAACACACTGTTGAGTTCAGTTAGCTGATATTGATTTTGGTTTTGACTATGTTCATCAGGGAAATAAATGAACCTATAATTTAATTTTCTTGTATTATCTTTAACTGGTTTTGAGATTAAGGTGATAATAGATTCTTAAACTAAGCTGGGCAGCTTTTGTTTTTTTTCTATTTTCTGCACTATCTTGTATAAAATAGGAATCAACTATTTCTTAAAAGATTCGTGATACCTGTAAAACCATCTGAATCTTGAATTTTCTGTGAGAATGGCTCTTTATCTAGCATTTCAATGTCTTTAATATTTATTAATCTATTCAAATCTATTTCCTCTCATGCTCTTCTTGGCATTTTATATTTTTAAGGAATTTGTCCGCTTCTAGCTAGGATTTCGAACAAAAAGTATTTGTTCAGGATTGATTTATTTAAAAATCTTTTAGAGTGAGTATGTGGTTATTTTCTTCTTTTCCTTCAATTTATTGTTTATTTATATCTTTTATCTTGATCAGTCTTATCAGAAGTAGGTCTATCTTATTAGACTTTCCACAGAATGAATCATGGGTTTTCTTATTCTCCATTTTTTAAAAATCATGTAATTGACTGCAGGCCCTCATCGTTATCATTTTCCTCCTTTACATTTCTTCGGGCTTACTGCATGGCTCAGTTGCCATCTTCTAGAGTTGAGTGCTTAGCTCACTTATTTTTTAACCTTTTATATTTTCCAACAAATGTACTTAAAGTTATTAATTTCCCCTCTAAATATTAGCTATGCCCTGTAAATTTTGATAGTGTTTATATTATCATAATATATTTTATTATATATTTAATGGTTTATATAATAATATATTAATAAATATTATTTAGTTTCAAACATACTAGTTTAGCTTTACTTCTATGCATTCCTAATTTTATTGCATTATCTTTGGAGAATATATTCTGTATATATTAATTCTTTGGAATTTATTCAAACTTTTTTCATTTCTTCACAGAAGGTCTACTTTTGTAAATATTCTCTGTGTATTTGAAAGAGTGTCTATTACCTGTTTTTATTTATGTAGAGTGTTAAATATGGGTGCATATGCATATACACAGTTTATATATAATTATAAATAATGTATTTTATTGAATATTCGTATTGCATTTACATGGTTGAAAACATTTTAAACATGTAAACACATATTTTATATATTTTCAAAAATTATTTATTTTATGATATCATTTATAATATAGTCCTATAGATATATAGTAATGTATATACCTATAAATATTACATAAATATATATAATACCTGGAATTTTTTGATTTAGAACTTAGATTCCATTGTTTATTTTTTATCTCATTGAACTATGATCTTCTGAGAGGGATGTGACTTGCCAACTACAATTATTAATTATTTACTGCCTCTGATGGTGTTACTTGGTATGTCTCATGGCCATGTATTTAGGTACACGTGTTTATGAGAGTTCTGTTTTCTTATTAGGTGTACTTTTTATCCATATTTATTATGTATCTTTGTCTCATAACATTATTTTACCTTACATTCTACTTTGTTCAAAATTAAGATTGCTACTACAGTTTATTCTGTTTTATATTAGCCAGGTATATTTTTTCAACTTTTTATTTTTAACTTTTTAAAATCTTTTTAAAGTTTATCTCTTGTGGACAATATATTGTTGGAATTTTTTAAAAACCCAAACTGAGAGTCTCTATCCTTATTTCATAAGTTTAACCCATTTAAATTTATTGAAACTGCTTTTATAGTAGGACTTATTTCTGCCTTCTTATTTCATTCTCCCCATTTACCCCAATTATTTTCCTATTTTCCTTTGGAGAGAGTTTTATTTTGCTGGTGTAAAGGGTATACATTCTATTTACTTAACTGAAGACCCATATTTATATTGATTTACTCCAGTGACTGCCTCAAACTTATCAAGATCTGCACATTGCCTCTCATGAGACAAGTACTCAGTCATCCTTTCATGGCCTTCTGGTCTCTCCTCCTCACCCCATGATGATGTTGTCTAGAATGTTATTTTTCAATTGTCATGGATATGTTTTCTCTTTTTCTTCATTTTGGTTCTAGCCGCTTTTTTTTTTTTTTTTTGAGATAAAAATAGACTTCGCCATGCTGCTTGCTCACACTTACTTCCTCGCCTCTTGCAGCATCTCCCGAATTTGTTTTTCATCTTAACCAAGTACTTCCTCCAAGAGCATTTTCAGTGGGGATCTTTGCATGAGGCCAACCTGCTGAGGCCTTAGAAGTCCCCAAGTACTGTGATCTGACATTTGAATGACAGTTTGGCTGGATATAAAATTCTAGGTACTAAGTTCTTTTCTTTAATACTTTAATAATATTACTCAATTTTCTTTTTGCAGCCAGTGTTCTTCTTAAGAAGTCTGATGTAGATCTAATTCTTGTTCTTTTATAGGTGATCTGAAAGTCTTTACAATTTTCTTCTTGTCTTTGATGTTCTTACATTTCACATAAGGGGGCTAGTGCTGTGTGTGTTTGTGTGTGTGTGTGTGTGTATTTCCTATTTTCCCCTCTTGACAGTGTATGAGTCTTTTTGATCTGAGATCTTTTTCTATAACTCTGAGAGATTTATATTAATTTTTCCTTCAAATATTTCTTCCTTTCCATCTTTTCTCTCCCACAGGGATTCTTAAAACCATATGTTAGTACATGTACTTTTCCGTGTCTCTCCACTTCTCTTTGATTTTTTAATCTCTTCATGCTTTCCAGGAACTTTCTGGGAGAATTCCTCAACTTTTCTTCCAGTTTGCTCTCCAGCCACATCTATCCTTTATGTATCACACATGTGATGGTCTTTATTTCGACTATAATATTTGTCACAACTAGCACTACCATTTAGCTCTTTTTAGTTGTTCTTGCTCTTGATTCACATAGTTTATGTCTTTCTTTACCCCTTTAGCTCTACTGATCATATTTACTTAGAATTATTGTACTGTCAGTTCCCGTAGTTCTGCTTCAGATGGTTTCTATTGTTTGGTGTGTTGTCCTTCTTTTAAGATAGTAGTTCTCCAAAGATGCCAAGTTATTTTGGCTTGTGAATGCAGATTCCCCTAAGATGACCATGTACCCAGTCTAGTAACAGGTAATGTGGAAGAATGGAAAGCTAAATACTTCCATCTAGTGAGTTTTATAAGTGGGTGGGATAAGCCCCAGAGCACAAGGGAACCCCCTTGTGTACCCACACTGCTGCCGTTCCCATCCCTTGGTCAGGGTTTCACCTCTAAACTCTTTGGGAGATCCTCCTTAGTTTGTAACCCACCTGCCTTGGAGTTGGAGAAGGAAAGGGTTAGGGAGCAAATGCCATTGGCGGTTGGCCATCTACCTTCATCAATATCCCACTGCTATGGCTGTGCCTTGTGGTCCTCTAGAGTACCTGTGACCCAGGTGAAGGAGAGGCTATGAGAGTCTCAAGGGCCATGACTGCAAGAGTCAAGAGCAGAAATCAAGGTTCCTGTCACCTATTTCTTGCTTTGTCTCTAGCCACCATCTGCCACAGGCTGTGGTCACTCTCTCCACACCCACCATTTGACATATGTCAACATAGCCTCCAGCTCCCAAACTGTTTTGGTTCCATTTGATATCATTCCAGAAATCCATGTCTAACTGTCTTTTCTACAGTTCCTCTCAAATTAATGACCTGTACCTCCTCCCCATTCCTGCTTTCACTCCCCTTGGATCAAAGCAGAAGACCTGGTGGGATCTGGGGTGATGGAGGCACATGAAGGGGGTGAGTGACATTTCCTCCTTGGAGGGAAGCAGGCATTTCCTCAAGAAAGGAGCTCATCTGGAGACACCACCAGGCTGATGTTTCTGAGAATAGTGACCAAGTTCCTGGAAGAGTTGTAGTTTCCACACCATTAGGGCCCCAAGTCCTCTTCCTTCAGCTGAATCATGGTGATGATGAAGAAGCCAGCATCCAGCATGACCCAGATCATGTGTCAAGAGTGCTGAGCTGCTGTCCAGGGCTTGGAGCTGAGGACTAATCTGGTACCTCATTTGGAGATGTCTGCTGACACCAAGTTCTCTCATAGGGCCCTCCCTCAGGAGGGTACTGCCATTGCATGGAGAGTGTCTGCCCCGCCACTTCATGAAGTTCCTCAGGCATGACTATCTTTCCTCAGGAACCTGGATAACAAGCCCTCAGGTCAGGGCCCTGGCTGGACGCAGCCATCCCTCTCCCACGGCCAGGGAAAGGGGACAGGGAACAACTTCTGATGTCCACACCCAGAACATGGTCTGCTGGTCACAGAGCCACCCTGCTCTCTGCCCCACCTTCTCCTCCATCTCACCTGAGGCCAGGAGCACCAGCAGAACAGGTGGAAGGAGCAGGCATGGGGCTTCCCAAACCAGGTCACCCCCAACCTGTTTCTGACAGTGGAGGAGTGGAGAAAAGCGGAGGCCTCTAGGGAGAGGGAACCAGAAGCTGGGCCTGATTCTGCCCCAGTTTCCCAGCATCTCTGAGCTGGATGAATTGAGAAAGCCCAACACCTTGACTGGGGAAGTGATTGGCCTGAGAGGCGGGCTGTGTGGGCAGAGGGGAGGGAGGGGCAGCCAGGCCTGGGTGGGGGGCCACCAGCTGCAGGGTCTGTCTCTGGGCCTGGAGATCTCAGCCCTGCCTCAGTTTCTCCCTCTGCCCAACTTCTCCCCATCTCCATCACTCCGCACCTCTCACTCTATCACAGTCCTTCATTGTTAACAGGGAAAGCTCCGAGAATGCCCAAGAAGAAACCATGGTGAAATAAGAGGCTGTTCCTCTTCTCTTTCTCTCTGTGCACTGCCTACGAGTGGTCAGGGGGCCATGGAGGCCTGACCAGGGTCCTGAGTCCCTCTGGTCCCCAGGCAAGACAGGGACCCCACTGCCAGGCATGGTGGGTCAATGATGTGTTTTTGCCATGGGAGTGTTTGAGTGAGGGGTGGAGTTTCAATTCCAGAAACTGTAAGAATGGTCCCTGGGAAAAGTGGGGTCGGGAGAGATGGGAGAAAGAGCTCACTGAGCAGGGATCATCAGAGGGGAAGGCAGGAGGGAGCAGATGAGTTAGGGGGGAGAAAGCAGGGAGAGGAGTCAGCATCATCTCTGTATCTTCAGTTCTCATTCCCCAACGGGGCTCAATCAGTGTTGGTTGGAGGAACACATGAGTGGGTGAAAAGATGAAAAATTCTTTCATCTGAACAACATGTGTGTAAAAATGTGTGGAGGAAAAATATAGCCAAAACTGGAACAACTTGAGCAACAAAACAAAGTGGTATTGAATTAAAACCCAAAGTACAAGATAAATATCCATGAGTCCATAATGATATAAATAAATGATTGAATAAATAAAATAAGTGGGGGAAAACAGCCAAATCTCCTGTGCAGAAGAATTCCAAATAATATATGTACATACTCCGCCCTCAAGGGGGGGGCAGCATAACTCCCTCCCCTTCCCTATGGGCTGTGCACAGTGACTTCCTTCCAAAGAGGATGGCATGGACAAAGGGGAAAAGAGACACTTTACAGTGAGAACCTGACCACCACCACCTCAGCCCAGTGGCCAAGGTCAACATCAGCAGTCATACATCATGTTGATACGATGTACCCTTCATATCATGTGATGAGAAGGGCACTTTACCTCTCTGGTCTTCCTGCCCCAAACCCTTGACCCCATGAGACGAAACACAAAACAACTCTCAAGTGAGGGACATTACAAATCCCTGACCAGTCCTCCTCAAAGCTGTCAAAGTCACCAAGATAAGGAAATTCTGAGGAACTGTCACAGCCAAGAGGAGCCTAAGGAGACATGATGACTAAATGTAATGAGGCGTCCTGGATGGGATCCTGGAACAGAAAAAGGACATTAGGTGAAAGTTAAGGAAATCTGAATGATGCATGGACTTTAGTCAATAATAATGTCATTATTGGTCCAGTAATTGTGACAAATGTACCGTACTAATGTAAGATACTACTAATAGGGGAAACTAGGTGTGGGCTGAACTCTCTGTAATGTCCTCACAACTTTTCTGAAATCTAAAACTACTCTAAAATAAAAGATTCACTAAAAACGTAGAGAGATTATTTATACAAAACCTGTTTGTAAATACTTGATAACTAACAAAGAAAAGAAAGTATTTTTTTAAACTTAAGTTTGATCAGACATAAAGAATACCGAATACGGCCATTTAAGAGACTAGTTTATCTGAGGTCTGCTTGCCGCGCTGCACACCAACCATGTGCAGCCAGTCGTTGCTGAACGATGGGGACATGTTCTGAGAAATGCGTCATTTAGGTGATTTCGTCGTAGTGTGAACATCAGAGAATGTACTTACGCAAACTTAGATGGTAGAGCCTACTACATACCCAGGCTATATAGTACTAATCTTATGTGACCACCGTCCCATATGCGGCCCATCATTTACACAAAGGTCATTATGTGGCGTATGACTGTATATATCCCAGTGGGTGTTGAATTCACATCACTGGTCTTCCCAGTTGGTTATAACCTAGCTCTCCCCAGGTGTGTTCAGTCTTTAGAGCATCCTGTTCAGGTAACATGATTGCCCTGCCTCCCTAAAATGAGCAGACACTCTGGTCTGCTCAAGACCCCACATGGCCCTGAACTTCAATGCCCTGGTCCTGCTGTGGCACTGGGTCCCTGGGAGCCCCAGGGAGAAGGAGGGAGGAGGTGGGAAGCTGAACTTCGTGAGGAAAATGACCAGGAGGCCTGGAGCCCAAGCTGTCCCTAGGCACCAGGAGGCTGCCCAGGGAAGAGGGGACAAAAGGAGGAGGGGTCTACAGCTACTTCTTGTCTGTGACCATATGTCCTCACCACCCAGCTCACATGAGCTGTTAGCTATCCTGCCTTAACTGGACTTCTTGGCTCAGTTAGAGGCCTCCGCCTGCCTTAAGACCCCATAATCTGTGCCCACCCCCATCTCGGCCCCCAGTGTGCCTAGTTCCCCCCACGGCCCCGCTCCTGACTGCCATGCTGGTCCTGCCTCAGACTGTGCTGGCGCTTGTCTGGCTTCCCCAGCTTCTGGAATGCCTTCCGGCGCTGCTCCCCAACTAGCCTCACTTGTGTGGGGCCACAAGGGGTCCCTCTTGCAAGAGGCTGGCGCAGAGGACACCAGCCTGCAGCCACCACCCCACCCTTGCCCTGCGCTCGCAGTGTCTGCTCACTATGGCCCCTGATCCTGTGCTGTGCTCTGTCGCTACCATACTGTGGACACTCTTCGTTCCCATCCAGACAGCCTGTGAGTCCCCTGAGGGCCAGGCCACCTCCTCTCACTTACTGAGCCCTGCTTGGCTCAACTCTGCGTCGCTGTCTGCACATGCTCCTTGATCTGATGGGGAGGGGCCACAGAGCGCATCTCCAACCTCTTGCCTTTTTTCCTGTGGAGGCTGAGCTGCAGAGCAGTCCAGTGACTTGTCCAAGGTTTCACAGAGATTTCACAGCTGAGCTGGGCATTTGAACCCTGTCCTCCAACACACACCCAGCGCTTTGCCCATCGCTGAGCAGCCCCCCATCCACCCTGACTCCCAGCAATGTGTCCCCATCACTTATCCAAATGGACCACACTTCCACTTGCGGGTTCAAAGACAAGGCAGCAGCGCGTTGGGGGTGGGGGAGTGTGGCAGAAGGACTGAGCCACCAAAGTAATATAAACCCTTTCTTGGAGAAACGAAATAAAAATCAGAAGTGTGATTCTCTCTTTAGGAGGGAAATCTGCTTTAACTAAATGGAAATTATAAATCAAATCACTCAGGTGTAAAAGTACAGTGTGCTATAAAAAGTTTAATCTGTATTAATAGAAGCTAAATTTATAACAAGGAACTGAAAGCTTTGTAGCTGACCAGCTATGTTGAAGCAAAATCTAGAAAGCAGTGCTGTCAGACAGAATTTCCTGCAATGATGGAATGGTCTATACCTATAGATCCAACACAGTAGCCACTAGCCTCACGCGACTGTTGAGCATCTGACACGTGACAAGTGCAGCTGAGGAACTGAACTCTTATTTTTCATTTACTTTTAATTACTTTAAATATAAATAGCCACATGTGGCTGGAGAACTAGATGGCACCGCCCTAGATGACTGAGATGAACTTGAACGACACCCTGCCCCTCACAGGCAGATGTCTCTGTTGTGCAGTGTGTGTGAATGCCAAAACTGTAAAGCTAATAGAAGATAACGTATAATATCTTTGTACGTTGTCTAAAAGACAATGTTCAAAATATTATTGTGCTTCAGATTGGGAAGAACATCTTAAATAAGATCCCAAAACAAATCCTAAGGGAAAATGGATGGATTTAATCACATTGTCAAATGCTGGCTTCCCAGATATCACCAACACAGCCTGTTGGTAAGAGAAAGCTGGGGAGCCCGGCCCAGCATTCACATTGTTCCCAGGGGCTGGCCCTGCCTCCTGTCCAAGGACTCTTGAGAACAGAAGGGACGAAAGTCAGGGGACAGGCTCTGGGGAACCCCTGGGAGACAGTTCCTCTAAAACCGTGTCTGCAGCGGCTGCCTGTGTCCCCTCATTCATCCACCCCAAGCCTGGCCCCGGCCCCCACTCACCTGAGGCCCAGGCTGTCTGGGAAAGGACAAACAAGGCTGAGAACACCAGGCCCTTGCCCAGGATGAGTCCACAGGTCAGGACAACAGCCAGCACCAGCAAGCCTGTGAGGCATGGCATTCAAGGCTCTCCACGATCTGAATACATGGTGCTGCTTTAACCTTACCCTTCTCCTCTCCACTCTGCCAGACTGTCTTCCTTTGTAGCCAACACCCTCCCTGCATGCGTTCCCACCACCTGCTCCTGGCATGGAATGCCACGCCCTCTTCTACATTTATTACTCCTCTGCTACCTTCCAAGTTTCTCCTCCTCCACGTAGTGTTCTCCGACACCCACTTCTGGCCCCCACTCCCCAACAACTCTGGGTAGGGAAGGACTTCTGTCCATCTCATTCCTTTAACTCCAAGGAAGAGGCTGCTGGTTGCTCAGATTCCGTTTGCACCTGGCGATGCCCTGTCATCAGGGGTATAAAACACCTGTATGATCTTAGCTCCTCAACCCCCGGCTCCTTTCCTCTGGGCTGGTGGATGGGACTTGGCTGTTTCAAAGTAGTAACATTCAAGGCTTGAGTTAGGCCTTCGGGATAGAAATAGCAGCGAAGGTCATTCTCCCTGCTGGGGTTCAGGACTCCCTTGGCCTGCCTGGAGCAGGAGAAAGTCCTCCATGTTGTCTAGCCTGGCTCCCTG